ATGATTCTTGACTCTTGGTGAATGTATCTTTTCTTTTATATTATACTGAGAGCACTTGCACCAAGACAAATTCCTTGTGTGTCCAATCACACTTGGCCAATAAAGAATTCTATTCTATTCTATTCTATTCTATTCTATTCTAGTCTAGTCTAGTCTAGTCTAGTCTAGTCTAGTCTCTGATCCTACTATCTTCATAATGTAACTCCATAATTCATGGAAGCTGTTTGTAGGAAAGAAGTTGGATGTTCTACCACATCCTCCTTACCCTCCAAACAAAGCCAACACCATACATACATCTCCAGAAAGAAAGGGAAAGACAGTTCACCCATCTGTCCATCTGCTTACTGATCTGTCTGTCTGTCTGTCTGTCTGTCCAACAGCCACCCATCCATCTTCTAATCTCTTCCTGTCCATCAGTGGTCAGTCTTCCCATCAGTTGCCCACCTGTCTGACCGTTTGCCCGCCCGCCCATCTACCCTTCCACCCGTCCTTTCACCCACTTGTTCATCCATCATCTAAAGAAATAATTTGCTCAACACTGTCCAACTATTTACCAAGTCTGCATTACTATTACTATTAATCTTTAACCTGAGGTTGTGAAACACCCAATGGGATGGACCATCTAGGGTTTCCAACCGCTGGGTTTACAAAACTGAAGCAAAAAACTTAATCTTGGAAAGTTCTCTGGTCGTTGGGAAATTGGGTAGAATGTCAAGTTCAGAAGACTGCAAGAATCTCCTTGTCCCAAAGTTTGCTAGCTAGAATATGGATTGTATGCACAGCTGGGCTGCGCAAAGATTCAATTTACCCATTCAATTCCACCGCGGTCCAATTAAGTGGCTTTCAAATAAACCCCTATGAGCTCCCCTTGGCAGTTTAAAGCTGATGTTTTCACACTGAGATAGAATCCTGGTTTGAACTTGGAGTTGCCAGGGGATTCCCGGTCACCCAGTTGGCTTTCATGCCCAAGGTGGAACTAGATCTTACTGACTCTGTGCGATTGGGCCGAAATCACCCACCTGGCTTTGATGCCTAAAGAAGGACTAGAACTCACCGTCTCCTGGTGATTGGCCCAAAGTCACCCAGCCGGCTTTCATACCTAAGGCAGAACTAGAATTCACCATCTCCTGGTTCCTAGGCCAGAACCACCACACCAAACCGGTTATCCAACAGTTTCTAACTTTGCAAAGCTGGAAAGCTGATGCCAGTGTGTATACACACACACACACACACACACACATACACAAACACACACAGACTAATATTTCTTCAGTTCAAAGACAGTGATATTTTTCTATTTGCGTAACACCCAGCAGGGGAACACTAAGGGAAGACCTGTGAATACACAAACTGCACTTTTTTTAAAAAAAAAAGAAGAAGTCCTTTCACACCAGCTGGATAAAAAAAAAAACACATTTCTTAATCCAGATACATGAAATATTTCAAACCGACACTACGGTAGCCAGTCAGCTGCTAAAGGGAGAAAAAAACAACAACATTTGCTTACTGGCAAAGAAAATATTGACGTTCTTTGGAAAATATAGACGGCCTTTTTGGAGCCAAGAAGCCCCCCAAAAAGCCTTTGGCGGCAAGGAAAAACTTTGTCCACTGAGGACTAGTAGCATGCACAGGAGAAGCAGGGAAAGTTACCCTTATTCCCGCCCATGATTCATTCCATGGCACTGTCCCAAGGGGTGGGATTCAGCCAGTTTGGAGCAGTTCAGGCTAACTGGCCGTTCCAACGATTAGTTGGCCCCACCCATGGTAGACAGTCCTTCATTTTCGTGTTTTTCTCACCCGGGGCTGCAGCAGAACCAGAGGATTGGTACTCAGCCAATTCTGACCGGTTCTGGAGAACTGGTAGCGGGAATTTTGAGTAGTTCAGAGAACCTGCAAATGCCACCTCTGACTGGCCCCGCCGACCCCATCTCTCCTCTGCCTCCCATTGAGTCCCAACAGATTGGCTGGGTCTTCTTTGGTTGCCCTGCACAGGAGAAGGGAGCTGGAAAGCAGGTTAGTGGGTGTGGGGAGGGAATGGGGGTTTTGCAGTATATCCTTCCCCTGCCACGCCCACCAAGCCACGCCCACAGGACCGGTAGTAAAAAAAAAAGTGAATTCCACCACTAGAAGGAAGAGAGGAACGAAAGGGGAAGGAAGAGAAGAAGGAAGGGGAAGAAGAGAGGAACAGAAGAGGAAGGAAGAGAGGAAGGAAAGGGATAGAAGAAAGGAATGAAAGGGGAAGGAAGAGAGGAACAAAGGGAAGGAAGCAGAGGTGGGGATTCAGCCGGTTCTGACCAGTTCTGGAGAACCCATAGCAGAAATTTTGAGTAGTTTGGAGAACTGGCAAATCCCGCCTCTGACTGGCCCCGCCAACCCCATCTCTTCTCCGCCTCCCATTGAGTCCCAGCTGATTGGCTGGGTCTCCTTTGGTTGCCCTGCACAGGAGAACAGAGCTGGAAAGCAGGTTAGTGGGGTGGGGAGGGAATGGGGATTTTGCAGTATAGCCTTCCTCTGCCACGCCCACCAGGCCACGCCCGCCAAGCTATGCCCACAGATACACAGTTCTTATACACAGTTCCATTCTTTCTAATGCCATTCTCTTTATCATGACAACCCTGTGAGTTAGGTTAACCGGTAGTAAAAAAAAATTTGAATCCCACCACTAAGCAGAAGATAAGTTTTACAACTGAAATTGGGTGGTTTCCAAATGCCGTGCGCACATGCTCACGGAACCGGTTGTTATACCGGTTGAATCTCACTGCTGACTGTCTCTTCCACCCAATTCTCCCCTTACAAAATCCAACAACGATTCACACTTCCATTCTTATACACAGTTCCATTCCTTCTAATGCCGTCCTCTTTATCATGACAGCCCTGTGAGTTAGGTTAAGGCTAACCGATAAAGAGACTAGCCAAGGTCATCTGGTCAGCTCCTCCGTTCAGAGGGGCACTGGATCCCATGGAAGGCCAGCATTAAACTTGGCGACTTCTTCATTCCACCAAGAACCCTCCAGAACAGGGGTCTCCAATGTGGGCAACTTTAAGCCTGGCGGACTTCAACTCCTAGAATTCCCCCAAGTTGCCAATGTTAGCTGGCTGGGGAATTCTGGGAGTTGAAGTTCGCTTGGCTTAAAGTTGCCAGCGTTGGAGACCCTTGCTCCAGAACACTTCGGGCAAATCAAGAACCAATGGCAAATAACAGTTAAAACCTTGGCTTATGGCCACCGTGGGGCTGACATTTCCATCGCTAAGTGAGACATCAGTCAAGTGAGTTTTGATCCATCTTACGACCATTTCTTGCCACGGTGGTTAAGTGAATCAGCGCCGTTGATTCAGTTAACCATGGGGTTGTTAAATCGGGATTCCTTGTTGATGTTGATCATCAGAAGGTCACAAAAGTGGATGACGTGACCCTCTCCCCAGGATGCTGCAAAACCGTCATGAATGTGAACCAGTGGCCAAATTTGGATCACATGACCATGAAGGATGCTGCAATGGTCATAAGTGTGGAAAACAGTCCTAAGTCACATTTTTTCAGTGCCCTTGTAACTTCAAACTGTCACTAAACAAACCATTGTCATTCAAGGGCTACAGTCCTCGATGTCAACTCATAAAACATTCCTATGCCGGCTTTAGTAGTTGCCATAAAAAGAGGGGGGGAAGCGAAAGTAACATTCCAACTCTTCTCTTTAAAAGGTTGTAACTAAACTACCAGAGCTTTTGCCCGGGAATAGATTTGATTGGAGAATGTGATTGATGAAACCCAGCCTGTGAACATGCTCAGTTGGAGAATATGATTTATGACACACCCGGGGGGGGGAGCGGGGAAACAGGGTCACAGGGGACTGTAAATACGTATGCCAGAGTTGGCTTCATACAGGGCAGTGCCAGCATGTCATCTCCAATAAATCTTTCAAAGTTTTTTGAAGTTTGGCCCAAGGATCACGACTGAATTAGGGTGATTGCTGGAATCCTGACACTCAACTTACAATTCATTTACTGACCGTTTGAAATTACAACGTCACTGAAAAAAATGTGACCCATGACAGTTTTTCACACTTACAACCATTGCAGCCTCCCTGTAGTCAAAATTCAGGTGCATGGGAACTGACTCATATATATGACGGTCACAGTATCCCAGGGTCCCTTGGTCCCCTTTTGCGACCACTCTGACAATTGGAACCAAGGGGAAAGCCGGATTCAGTTAATGACTGTGTCACTAATTGAACAATGGCAGCGATCCACTTCACGACTGTGGCAAGAAAAGTCGGGAAAAGGGGGTGAAACTCACTTAGCAAATGCTTCAGATAACAACAGAACTGTTGGGCTCAATTGTGGTTTTAAATCAAGGATGACCTGTAAATCAAATCTGCTTTGGTTTTTTTTTTCCAGACTAAGCTTTTTACAACTCAGCTCCAGATAAATGTGAAAGAGGCCAAAACTTAAACATCAAATCAATCAATCAATAAATCTATCTATCTATCTATCTATCTATTTATCTATCTTATCTATCTATCAATTTAACTATGTATATCTAAATATCAATTTATCTCTCTATCTTATCCATCAATTTATCTATCTTATCTATCTATCTTATCTATCTATCATCTATCTCTCTATCTATCTCTATCTCTAAATATCTATTTATCTTATTTATCTATTTATCTATCTGTCATCTATCTACCTATATATCTATTGAATAGAGCTGGAAGGGACCTTGGAGATCTTCTAGTCCAGCCCCCTGCTCAAGCAGGAAAACCTATATTATTTCAGACAACTGACTGTTCAGTCTCCTGTCTGTCTGTGTCTATCTATCTATCCATCTGTCTATCCATCTATCTATCTATGTATCTACAGTATCTGTCTGTCTGTCTGTCTGTCTGTCTGTCTGTGTCTGTCTATCTATCTATCTATCTATCTATCTATCTATCTATCTATCTATCTATCTATCTATCTACAGTATCTATCTGTCTTCATCTATCCATCTATCTTCGCCTTACCTTTGGAGAGCACCATGGCCAGGCTGAAGAGCAGAAGCCAGAGAAACCGGATGATCTGAGTCGGCCAAAGGATCCCCATAGCGGGCTGAAGAGAAGTTAAAGCTTTGCCCTGAGAACTTTACAATGAGGACTAGCCACCTGTCCGGCCCTTTTTTCCCCTTCATCCCAGGGGGGGAAAGGAGAGAGATAAGTCATCTGCCGGTCTACCCCCCAAAAATATATATATAGAGGTGAGTATTTTGGTCCAAGTTAGATTTCAGGACTCTCTCTTGGGCGCTTTCAAAGAAAAGAAGACGACGACCCTTCAAAATATAGGAGTTTCTCTGCTGCCGACGGCTTGTATGTCGTTCAGGAAAAAAATCAGCGAAGGTTTTCCAGGGGAGAGTCGATCCGTAGCGAAGTCGGAAGGAGAAGCAACCCGAAGCTGCTGCGAGGAACGGAGCTCGGAGGCTGGGAAGAGGCGACGAAGAAGGCAAAGGCGGCCAGCAGAAAGGCGCCAGCCATGCCCGCCAACCCAGGATAGGGCGCAAAGGCGGTCCGTTTCACACGCCCAGCGCCGAGAGAGGAAGGCATCCGCTCGCCAAAAAACCAAAACCAAAACAGATCTTCGAAACCTTTTTCAAATTGCTGCTGCTTCTTCTCCGCTTTTTTTTTGTCCCCACCCACCTCCCCGGAAAGGTTGGCCGGGAAGGGGAAGGGGGCCACCAAGTCTTCTTTTTTTATGGAGAGGGAGGGGGGCGGGAGGGGGAGAGAATCGATTAGAAGCGCTCAAGTTTGCCCACCGGAGGAAAAGAGGCCAGGGAAAACGATGCGCAAAGGGATGGAGAGAGAGAGACAGACAGCGCGCGCGAGAGAGAAGGAAGGTGAGGTCTGGCTCGCCACGGACTTGAATTCCCCTTTTGGGGAAGGGGTGGAAAAAACAACCCAAGCGAGCCGTAGGAATCCTGGGCTTGTGCGCTGAGAGGGAGGGGAGAAGAGGCGGGGAGGGGGGGGCGCAGAAGGAGGGATCGGGGGAGGGTTCCCCGAAAGGGAAAAAAAAATTGCCCGCTTTTCGGCGCCGCTTCCGACCGCTGCTTTGCTGGCAAAAGCTGGAGCGCGCCTAGCAGAGGCTGGGCTGACTCCGAGTCGCCTCCTCCTCTTCCTCCTCCTCCTCCTCCGTGGCGCGACGCCCCCTCTGCAGAAACTCAAGTTGTCGTCTGAACCTGGTTGGGTTTTGTTTTGGAGGGGTGGGTGGACAAAACCGGACCCACTCCCCGGCCTATGGAGAGAAGGTTGGCTGCCAGCTGGGAGGAGGGGAGATCCGAAGCCGCCTCCAGAAGAAAAGGGGTCAATGGGTCCCCCCTTCCCGTCTCTACCCCCCCCCCCCCCCCCCCCCCCCCCCCACCCGCTTCCCCCCCCCCCGTTTTCCGACCCCCCTCCCCGCCCCCTTACCCCCCCCCCCCGGCCAATCCGGGAGCTGCGGAGCAAGAGACAGGCGGGGGTGGGGGGGCAGAGGAAAACACCGCGCCTCTCCCCACTCGGGACGCCCAGACTTCAAAAGGAGCCCGACGGGGAGAGGCGGGATAAGCCCCGCCTCTTTCCCAGTAGAGCTCCGCCCTCTTCATCCCACCCTCCCCAAGGCGGACAGGCTCCACCTCCCCAAGGGATTCCCCGGAGTTGGGGAAATTAAAGGGGGGTGGGAAGGCTGCAGGAGAGGGGAGGGTTCAAGGCGCTCCCGCAGGGCAGGGAGGACCGGAGCTTGGAGAGAGCCCCCTTCCCAGGGCTGAGCCCTCTCTGTCTCTTTCCCGACCCCTTGGAAAACTGCGGGGGGGGAGGAGGATTTGAGGAGGGGGGCTGCGCCTTACACCCGGGCCCGCTGCTAAACCCACGCCGTTGCAAAACAGATGTTCCAGCTTCGACACGAAAGAGAGAGAGAGAGAGAACCGCGTTTTTTTTCCAATCACTTGATGACTTCCGAGGATGACCTTTTTGTGTGTGTGTGTTTTGTTTTAACGCTTTTAATACTCGGAAGAAAAGGAGGAGATTCGCTTCTGCAGCCGCCACGTTCGCAACCTACAACCTATAACGCTGTAGTGCAGCCCGCGCTTGCAAAGCCGCCCAGAGGATCGCGCGCGCGCGCGAGAGAGAGAGAGAGACCTCGGCTGAGAGACGCCGCTCCGAATCCAGCCGCTTCTTCGCTTCTGCGACGCTCAAACCTTTCAGGATTAAAACAAAATAAAATAAAATAACCTCCGCGTTCGGATTTGCTGGGAGGCGGGAAGGGTGGGCGGGGATAGAGCCCAACCTTGCTGGAGGGTTTTTACGGATTAAGAGGCTGATCTACGCCTGGAATTGGCAGACTTTTTTGTTCTGCTCAAATCTAGTTGAATACTTTTGCTTGGAGGTGGGGGAATTGTTTTGCAGGGGGCAGCAAAGAAACAACAGGAGCAATCCGAAAGCAGGACTCTTTCATCTCACCACACATGGAAAGATTTAAACCACCGGTCAGTATCCTGGAGCAAGCCAAATTTAAAAAAAAAAAAATCAGGAAGGAATTCCTGGAAGCCGGGCATTCAGCCAAATTGGCCATCAACAGACCCGTAGAGATGAACCACGTTTATACGCCATTTGAAAAAGGCAAAAAAAAAGCTAAGAAAGAAACGAAGAGACCTGACAAGCGTCTTCTTCCGCAACCAACACCCAGATTTACATGAACAGAAACTAAGTTTTAACCTACTTAGAACTAAAGAGAAATTTCCTGACAGGGTGAACGTATTTTGGGCAGAGAGGACCGCTGGTTTGAAAGAGGGGAGTCAAAGTGGCCGTCGATGTCAAAATTGGACAGCCCTCTCTCAACAGAGGGAGAGGAATACAATATTATCTATCTCAAGGGTCTTCAAACTTGGCAAATTTAAGACTTGTGGACTTCCACTCCCAGAATTTCTGAGCTAACATGGACTGGAGGAGGAATTCTGGGAGTGGAAGTCCACAAGTCTTCAAGCGGTCAAGTCTGAAGACCCCCGATCTATCTCCAGTCTACAACCTAGGCCTTTCAGCCGTTCCAAGAAGGCTCCACACCCATTTGCACCACTCAGGTGACCCCGAGGACACAGATAAACCTCCAAGTGGCCTCAACAACTCCCTAAAAGAATGCAAACGACCAGTTGTCTGCAAGAAATGTAAATCCTTCCATTTCCCACCATCCAAATCAGAGCTGAAGAAGCTTCTTGGTTGAGAAGCAAAAAGTCTTCAAAGAAAACCCCCCCAAAATCCAGTTGCCTCTTGAAAAAAAGCACTTTTGGGGACAACCATGACCTAGATAACTGACAATCTCCATCAACATTGATCAAGGAGAGATCCAATCTAGAACCAAGGAGAACTTTTCTGACAGTTAGAACAGTTAATCAGTGGGACAGCTTGCTTTCGGAAGTTGTAGGTGCTCCGTCACTGGAGGTTTTCAAGAAAGGACTGGACAGCCACTTGTCCAGAGTAGTATAAGGTCTCCTGCTTGAGCAAGGGGGTGGACTAGAAGACCTCCAAGGTTCCTTCCAACTCTACAAGAACGTAGAATGAGATTACCTGGTCATGTTTCCTAACTGGTCTGCCTGTTAAGGTTGACTTCCAACTTTCACACCAGGAAGGGGGTCACTTCTGAGATGTTCCTCCTGCCACCCCACCTTCTCTGAGTTGAGACATCTATTACGCGCCCGTCCAGAAGCAATGATGAAGCTTCCCCTCACGTTCTAAGACCAAATTAAGCACAGATCTAAAGGCTTCAGAATCTCAATGGAGTCATTAACTAGCTGCGAAGGAAAATGTCAATGCCAAGAAAAAAAAACAAGAAAACAATTAGAGTGGGTGGAGAGCAGTAAACCAAGCATTGGGGGATTCCAAGAAGTTTTCTACTATCCCTTTAATTGGCTGGGAAAGGATTAAATAAGAAGAAATTGGGTTTGCCCTGAGATTTCACCCCCTTTTTAATTACAAATTGCCTAGATACTCAATGGGGCCTTTTGTTTACGTGAACAAACGCAGGCTATCTTGCCTGGATTTAACTTTTCTTGGACCAATCATTCTTCCCAGTAATCATATTTTCCTTGGCACAGGAGGAGGAGGAGGAGGAGGAGGAGGAGGAGGAGGAGGAGGAGGA